ACCCAGTCTGAAATGATATTAAAATCTTTGATGACTTTTACCAATTGCTTCATCAAAGTGCTAGAAGAACGTCAGATTTCTCCTCTTGTTTTCTACAGATGCTGGGCATTTTTTTCTTTATCTCTCTCTGCTTTTAGCTTATGATTGAACTAGAATGTCTATGCAAAGCCAAGAAATATCTTTTACTACCGTGAGGTAATTCGATATTTTAAGTGTAGTTTGGGTGTCTTGGCCCCTCGGAACCATGTTTGCTTTTAGACATGGCTTGGTGTCGTGGAAACAGCTGCCTCAGGACCTGACCTCTGCTGTGCACATTCACAGGAGGAGAGATGTTTGTGGTTCTTCTGGCTGGACAGCGCACTCAGCAATCCAGAGTGTGTGGCTCTCAGAGGTGAAGTGAGGCCCCTGCTGCTCCTTCATGGTTATCCTCAACGTTAGTTAAAGTATTTGTTCACTGAAGGTTGTTATAAGTGTACCTGTACCTTGGGGAGTCCATGCCTATATCCTTAGTGTCATCTCCCCATATCCCAGAGCATCCTCCAATGTACCCTACATCACCATCTCTGTGTTGAAACCCTTTTGAGACAGCATCACTTCGAATAAGAAAGTAGTTTTACTAGATAGTTTCTCTTCCTGTTACTGTGGTGAGTCCCTCTTCCTGTTGGTACGGTGGTCTTCACTTCTCTCCCCTAATGCAGGCATTTAAGAGTGACTATACTCTTAAAATGCCAGTCAATCATTGGGTACCTCTCCTCACTTTGAAAGCCTGTGTGGATCCACATTAGCATCACCTTAAAACCAAAACCACAGAACGGAAGTTCCCTGGTCTCTCTGGCCCTATCCACTTCTCCTCTTTGGTGTCCTCTGGCTAAGTTAGATGCACCTTACACAACATCTTATCCAAGGACTTTTCAAGATCACCCAGTTCCCCATATACCCATTCTGATGGGATGACCCTTCTTTGTACTCATGAAACACAAGACATTGCACTAAAGTGTCCCCCATTATTAGCTAATCTCTTTGGAGCAAGGACCACCTACATCCTTTCCAATATTGTGTCTTCAGAAACACTCACAAAGCTGAGAACTCCAGACCTTATGCTGCTAAGTCCAGGCTCAAAAGGATCTCATTTCTGGGTTTTCAATGGGATGGGATCTAAAAGTAAATCTGAATACCAGGCAGGCGTAGGAGCCGTTGACTAACGTACTAGAGGAGGAGAACAATAATGCTATGGGGTGGGAGCGGGCAGAGAAAGAAAGAGTGGTGTGGTTGGGCCTGTAGAGTCTTCCTTTGAGTTATACAGAAACAAAATACATTCTTAAAGGACAATCCAAAGGAGGAAAAGAGAGAAGACAGGGAGATAATGTCCAAGTCTTGGTAAGACAGGCTGGGCGTACATGCCAAAGAGGGCCAGCATGAACCATGGTCTTGTCTGGGGTCTAAGGGAGAGAGAGGGTGCCAAATGCCAGGACAACTCAAGGTACAAAGGTCTGTGAGGAAGATATCGGGATGAGCCTAAGGTTTGAATGGTTCTAGAAAGCAACCTTAAGAGGAGCAGAGCTAATGTGGAGGCGGGAGTCGGAGATGTGTTCAGCCAACAGGTAACATAGCTCCAAGGGAAATGGAGAGAAAAGGTTTGCCCTAGAGGAAGTTGAGGAAGACCGAAGTGAGAGGCCAGGGTCTGTCCAAGGTCTCTGTCAGATTTCTTAAAAAAACTATACATCCTCCAAGAGATTTTATAATGTAAAGAAGTGAACAGGTAGGCATAGTTTCTTTATTTTTTAAAAATATTATTTATGTATTTGTTTGCTTTAAGCTTTTCCATAAATACTGACAGTGTCCTTAATTTTAATAAAAAAACCCAAAATGAACAAAAACAGAAGTATGACCCCTGATTCTCAGACCACCTTGAGCAAGAAAAGCGCATGTGGCTTTGAAATGGTGCACTCAGCCCCTACACAGGGGTCTTCACAAAGGGGCTCTGTCACAGAGGTCCTCACACACAGTTCTTCACACAGGGATCCTCAAAAAGAGTATGCCACAATAAGTCATCATGGAAAGGTCTCCACACACATGAGTTCTTATCACACAAGGGTCCCCACACACAAGGTTCTCACAGAGGGGTTCTCAAACATACATCTCACACAGGGGTCTCTTCACACATGGTACTCTACAGGAGTCCCCACACACATGGTTCTCACACAGGGATCCCCAAACACATGGTTCTCACACAGGGACCTCAAACACATGATTCTCACACAGGGATCCCCAAACACATGACTCTCACACAGGGTTCTCCAATCCTGGTTTTCACACAGGGGTCCCCACTCATGGTTCTCACACAGGGATCCTCACTCATGATTTTCACACAGGGATCCACACACACATGGTTCTCACAAAGGGGTTCCCACTCATGGTTCTCACACAGGGGTCCCCACACATGGGTCATTACACAGGGATCCTCACTCATGGTTCTCACACAGGGACTCCCACACATGGGTCATCACACAGGGATCCCCACATAGTTCTCACACTGGGGTCCCCATACAGGGGCTCTCACAAAGGAACCTCCATAAGGGCCCTCATGCACAGAGTTCCTGACATAAGGCTCCTGACACAGGGGCCTTCATACAGTGCTCCTCGCTCTTGGCTCCTCTGCTGGCTAGTTTTATATCAATTCAACACAAGCTAGAGCTATCTGAAAGGAAGGAGCCTCACTCAAATGAGGAAATGCCTCCATGAGATCCAGCTGTAAGGCATTTTCTTAATTGATGGAGAAGGGCCCAGCCCATCATGGATGTGGCCAACCCTGGGTTGGTGGTCCCGGGTTCTATAAAAAAGCAGACTGAGGAGCCATGAGGAACAAGCCAGTAAGCAGCACCCCTCCATGGCCTCTGCACCAGCTGCTGCCTCCAAGTTCCTTACCTGTTCCTGAACTGACTTCCTTTAACAGACTGTGATGTGGAATTGTAAGCCAAAGAAATCCTTTCCTCCCCAACTCCCTTTTGGTAGTGGTGTTTTGTCATAGCTGTAGAACCCCTAACTAAGACAACTCCTCCCACATGGCTCCTCAGGCAGAGCTCCTCATACACTGTCCACATTCATTTGCTTCTGCAGAGAGCAAGTGTATTGGCAGGTAAAGTTCAGTGGTAAGCTGTAGAAATTCTGGGATGGGCCTTGCCAAATTTTATTTGAAGCTTTAATTGGATCAAGGGAATATTTTTACCTTCAAGCTAAATTAGTGATCACTAATCCCAGAGGAAAGTAATTAGCTATTGAATTTAATCTTAAAGCCAGGCAAGAGTATTTTCCATGGTGACATGAATTTGTATAGGTGTATTTAATACCCAAAACCTATTTTTATGGCTTTTATCCTAAAGAGATGGGGATTAAAATGTTGGGCTACAAACTATACCAATAGTAACATCAAGGCATGTCTGCAGTTGGTTTGAATTATAGCTGAGCTCGAAGCATTCAGAGCAGTAGGGTCCTGTGTGTGTGTGTGTGTGTGTGTGTGTGTGTGTGTGTGTGTGTGCACATGTGTATATGTGTTTGTGTGAAAGGCAGAGCTTAACCTCAGGTGTCATGCCTCAGATGCCGTTCACTTTGTTTTTTGAGATAGGGTTTATCATGGGCCCAGAACTCTCGGATTTAACTGTGGTGGTATTGTGTTCCCCAAAATATTGTGCACGCTAATAAACTTATCTAGGGTCAGAGACAGAGCAGCCACAATATTAAACACAGAGGATAGGCAGTGGTAGCACCTGCCTTTAATCCTAGCATTCCAGAGGCAGAAATCCATGTGTTCAAGGATACAGCCAAGCATGGTGACTCATCACACCTTTAATCCCAGGGAGTGATGGTAGAAAGCAGAAAGGTATATAAGGGGTGAGGACCAGAAACTAGAAGCATTTGGCTGGTTAAGCATTTGGCTGGTTAAGCATTTGACTGGTTAAGCTTTCAGACTTCTAGCAGCACAGTTTAGCTGAGAGCCATTCGGATATGAGGACACAGAGGCTTCCAGTCTGAGGAAACAAGACCAGCTGAGGAACTGGCGAGGTGAGGTAGCTGTGGCTTGTTCTGCTTCTCTGATCTTCCAGCATTCACCCCAATAACTGGCCTCAGGTTTGGTTTTATTAATAAGAACTTTTTAAGATTTCTGCTACATTTAACTGGTTTGGCTGTCCAACAGATCAGAGGAATCCGTGCAGCCCTGGGGTGATGGAGGAAGGTTCCTCCATGCTCTGCTTTTTCATGCAGATTCTGGGGCTCAAACTCAGGCCCTCATGCTTGTGTGGTAAGCACTTTCCCGATGGAGCCATCTCCCCAGCCCTCAACAGGACGTTTTTTCTTCTTTAACTTTTCCACTTTGGTGAGAAGATGCAAAGTCCCACCCAGAACACCATGCTGTGGGTCTATTATTAGAACTGATTTATCAGCCCCCAGGGGGGTACCCAGGAAATGTTTGTGTGCAATATCCTATTTTTTTATTTTTCTAAATTACATGTTTCTGACTTAGTTATTTTTCACTTTGGCATGGAGTTCTGCTGCTGTGAGCGGTCTTGCAGGATGCATATTCGTGTCCAGTATCCTGAAACCCAGAATCTGTCTGGCATTGTACCTTTATGGTCTGTTTGTTAAGGTGGAGACAGAAAAGTGTAAGGCACTGCATCTTAATTTAATAAGGAACAGTTATAAAAATATAACCTGGAATAATTGGAAATGACACTGTACGAAAATGGTAAAGCGGAAATATTTAATTGTTAGTTACCAACTTCTAGTGAGAACATTTCACAAAGACTAACTATAAAATCTGTGATTAAAAAGCTGCTGCCTGTCGAGAGGCAGGATGGACTGCTGTGGATTGCATGGGAAGTGTTATACCTCTGAGTCCGGGTGGAGAGAGCCACGCCCTCAGCCTAAGCAGCTATTGGAAAGCACTTCCGGAAATGCAACCAGGGGGAGGAAGTTAACCCTGCCATCTTTTCTTTTCCTTCCCAGTTCCCGTGAGATGAGCAGCTGTGTTCTACCCAGGGCTCCTACTGTGACACTCTGCCTCTCCTCAGACCCAAAGCAATGGGGCCAGCCAACCATCTCCCAAACTGTGAGTGAGAGTTAACTGTTCTTTTCAAGATGGTCATTTTGAGCATTTTGTCGTGATAACGGAGTTGACGAGTACAGTAGAATCATGCCTCTGCTCACCGAACAATAGCTCACAGAGGATGAGTAAGACGTCATGACAGCGAGACCTTTGCTGACCTTCTTGGGGATGGGCTGAGCACCAGACAGAGAGAAGGGGGGCTGCCAGGATCAATCCATGCAGGTCAGGAATGGAAAAAAATCTTGCATGTTGAGCTATGATTAGCGTCTTTTCTTCTCGAGGCTAATTCCTATCTTAGCTGTAAATGATGCCTGTCTCTTTAATACTTTTGAAGGTATTCACTCTCAACAAACTCTCTCTCAATGGTATATTATAAAGCCTCTATATGAATCATTAAAAAGTATCTTTATAAACTCTCCATCAGTGCTGTTTTTGTCCAGGATACCCAATAAGGTTAAACCTTTACCTGTCCATTTATGAGTGTGCAGACTCTCCCCTCTGTCTGGCTCACTTTCTGTCTCCTGGAGGTGCCTCCTGGTGGCCTTCATTTATTGCCTGCTCCGTGCCCTTGTCTTTATCAGATCCCTGTCTCCTTGAGTTCCCTTGTGAGTCTACTACATTCCTCTGACACTGGGGCCATCTCCACCCTCGCTGTCCCTGGTCTCAGCTCTCATAGTGTACAGACTGTTTCTAAATGTAGATCTCATTGTGAGCCTGGGAGGCTCACACTATCCTGGGGCCTCTAGCTAACGTGACTAAAGCCTGCTCTGTTCTTGGTATCCATACATATTCACACACCTTCTCTCTCCACGTTGCTCTTTCAGTAGCTACATTTAACTTGCCGTTTCTCAAGTTTTCTTTGTTGTTTTATGGCTATAGATTTGTACGGTCCACTTCTGTGTGAAATAGATTCGTGTTTCTTTTCTTCTGGGCAGCTCCTACTCCCTACCTCAGAAGCCCTTCCAAAGCCGCTCTCCCCTCCACAAGGTCCTTCCACCAATGCAACGGCCATGGCGTTTTGCAGATCCTTACATTTCACCCAGCTTGCAGACTTTCAGAAATGAGGCTGTCCTAGCTCCTCTGTACCCTTGGTTGCTGAAGCAGGGTTCAGGCTGAAGCAGACCCGCCCTCTTGTCTTCTCCAGTGAATCCTGCAGTGGGATCAGTCGCTTCTGTCTGGAGCAAGGTCTGCTGGCAGTGGGTTCATACCACTCTGGTTTAATCTTCCTGCACTCACTCAGTTTTAGATTTGCAAATGGCATCTTTTTCCTTTGTGATTTCCTCTTCGAAGCCCAAGGTCTCCAAGGATTTTGATTGTGTTATTGCGGGGATGTGTGTGATTGTCATTTCAAATTTGCACATCCTATGACGAACACTTGTGTGTAGATAGAAGCCAAGCACCATCTGTCATAAAGACCCTGGCTAGTCACAGCAGACCCAGTCATCATGGCAAAAATGTGGGAGAAGCTCCAACATCCCTCAATGGTGGGAACACAAACATGGCACCCAGGTATAGTGGAATACCACTCACCTCTGGAAAGGAAGGCAATTCTGATGAACAACTGAACCCTGAGGACATTATACTAGGTGATATGAAGCCAGGCATAAAGAGCAAAGACTTGTAACTTCCCTCATCTGAAGCAGGAGGGTGGTCCCTGTCAGGGGCAAAAATTATATCGGTGGTTACAAGGGTTCCAGGATCGGCATGGGAACAAACGGAGAAAGTGGGCAGAGGTCATAGTGTGAGTGTAGAACAGTACAGAGATGGTCGGTGAGGTGCACATTACGGTGTGTTGTATTTAAGGCCTCTGCAGACACAGCAGACACTCCACTGGTGTTATTCCATCACACCAGAAAAGAAAAAAACAAGCACAACAAACCCACCCGGGGTGCGTTTGAATCAGCGGGTTCATTTGTGGCAGTGGAAGGTGGATTTTGAGGGACAGTGGTTGAGGACAATTGGGCCTGTGAAGCAAGTAAAAAGGCACTGTAGCAGCCCAGATATTTATTGAGGGTTGCCTGCCTTTTTGAAAGCATTTTCTTCTTTAATTTACGTCCTTTGATAATTTTGAAAGGGCCACTGACCTGTATGTTTTTCAATCTGGCGTCCTGTTTTCTCAGGGACTGCTCACAATAGCAGACGGGCAGGCGTGACATTTCTGTGAACTTCTATTTGCTGCTCCAGCTTTGAAAATATGTTCCCGAGTTGGTCCCACTGAGGGATGGAGTCCAGGTGGATGTGTAATTATGTTTTCTGAGCCTGTGGTGGGTCTCACTCCTGACCAGTCACTGAATTCCGAAACCAAACCAACACCACTTTTTTTGTGGGGGGTGGGAGAAGAATTGATCATATAAAGTGAAGTAAACACTAGACTTGAATTTGAATTCTAGAGAAGGAAGACCAAAATTCTAAGTGCTGCCTCCTCAGAACATACAGACCAATGGCTTATAAAAAAGCGTCTCAGATAAAGCGGCATCATGGGGCTTTGTGCTGGGTTTGCCAGGCCAGTTGGGAAGGAATTATATTTTGTTGAGGCATCTGGCAAAAGATACAAGTAGAGCTAAGAAGATGAAGTCCATGGGCAGGTGCTCCTTGCATCCTTCAGCCATGGTGTCAGCTGGTAGAGATGCTGCAGGGTCCATGTAAGTTCACTCTGTGTGCTCCTGTGGCTTTTATATGAGTGAAAACACGACCTGGAACTCTCCAGTATTTAAAGCCTGGACTGACTCAGTGAATTATTAGAGATGCCAATCCATGATATTCAATTATAGGATTAGGGTATTGCTTTAAACTATCTGGAGCTCAAAGTGCCGCTGCTAGCTTCCCAGTTTCTTACGTTGCGTGTTCACTGCTTCTGTCGCCAGTTTGAGCTTCCTCAGGCACAATGCCCCACCCGAGTCATTGCACTCAGTGACAGTGAACTTGATGACTAAAGTGGAAATGTGCAGAGCAACAGAAAGCCTCCATAGAGACACTGCACTGGGCTGTAGCAACAGGCTAATGGCGGCTTCAGCTTAGCATGAGGTGTGTTTGGAGGATAAAGATTAAGCATCCATATTGAATATGCCTTTCTTGTGGAATGAGTTGATCGCGTTGGCCAGAAAGTCATCTCAGTTGTTAAAAGGTGTTCATTCATTCCCTGTAACTAACCCAAGGCATGCAGAGTGTACATCAGGTCCTGTCCCTAGAGAGAGTCAGGGTGTGGTAGGGACACTTGCCAGATGGCTGTAGCAACGCTGTCACTTAGGCAGAGGATCCCCAGGAACCGTCTGCAGACAGGGACGGGACCGCCATGAAACTGCAGGTAACTCTTGAGGAAGTTGTGTGTTTTGCACAGAGACACATAGGCCAAGGGAAGATTCACAGTGGATGTGAACAGGCATTGAGTCAGGCTTGGGAAACACCTTGTGGTAGATGACGTCACAGGAGAGAGGTGCAGTTACAGCATGGACGTCAACATGACAGGGTTCACTGCACCCCTTCTGCATTTTCTTCAGGGTCTTCAAAACCCAGCAATGTGCAATGGTGGGCGACTGTGCTGTTTTATACCACGTTCCAAGAGTCAGAGTATCCCAAGTTTGAAAATACGAGAGTGCCCCCTTTCTGGTTTCTATCCCTTTAAAAGGCCAGCTCTGTATTTGACTTCTGTGGATATTTCCTCATCTGCTAGGTGTTTCCTCATCCAATTAGAACTGTGATCAGTCCCCCGTTTTCTTGAGACAGAATGCACTGATGAGGTACGAAGCACCTTCTGCAGGGCTTTTGAGTTTCTCAGAATCTTCCCGTCTTCCCATTTTTTAAGTGACACATCTACTCCAGACGCCCAGCAGGTGGCGCTGTGAGAATGCAAATGTAAGGGCACCTTGCACCTCCCCTAGTGAGGATGATGCGGCCCCCATGCCCACATCTTTTCTTCCTTTTCTCCTCCTCCCTCCCCCTCCCCCTCCTCTTCTCCTCCTCCTTTCATAGTTTTAGGAGCCCAGCAAATTAAGTTCCCTCAGCCATTATTCAGCTCTAGTGAGAGACAAGTGGGTGACTGTCCACCCTGGGAACCTCTGAGTCCAAAACCCAGGCCTCTGGGATCACTGAAGCCCAGGCTGTGCCCAGTCAGGCTTGCCTGGAAGACGAAGACATTTCAGGAGACACTCGAAATATCTTACAATTCTGGACAACAGCAACAATAAAAGAAAACATTCTAAGTCTGTACGGTTAAAAATATTAAGTGACCTTACACTCTTTCTATAAAACAGTCAGTTAAAAACCCAGCACCAAGGGTGGAGAGCTGGCTCAGCACATCTGGCATATGGCAGCTCAAAACTGCCTGTAACTCTAGGAGATCTGACCCCCTGCTTCTGGCCCCTTTAGACTCCTGAATGAATATGGCATATATAAACTCATTCAGACATACACATATACGTATAAACAAATCTTTTTTAAAAAACGCCAGCATTGCACCTACTGCATCCAGGAAGCTGGAGGCAGGCCTGGTGTCTGTGGACCATGAAATGCCAAGACTAATACCTTACATGTTTGTTTCTGAGAGGTGGTATGGCCTACAAGGTAGGGTACCTCACTTCATAATGAATGTAGGCTCAGGCCACAGAGGCCCGGGAAACACATTAAGATTCTGTTCAAAATGAACAGTTGCACTTGGACCCAGAACCCCTTCTGAATGAGTAGATTCTGGAGTCTTTCCAGGAAAGAGTATGGCTATGTACCCTGACACTGTGGGTATCTGCCTTGCAACCCCACAGCCACCAGACAGGCAGATGTGCATAGCTCTCCTCTGGGCTTTCTGTGTTAGCACAGCTAGCTCCAATAGTTGTGACTTCCTTTTGCCATTCCATGCATGCACTCTTTGAGAGGTGGAGTACACAGAGGTTGGGTACACCCAGGGCGTGGAAGTGACCGGGCTGCTCATTCTAGCAAAGGCCATGCTCTACCTAGACACACAGGTGAACCCACTTTCCTAATCTCGCCGGCCAGTCCTGTGCATCAGGCAG